AAGGCCACTGTGCACACCTGCACTCTTACTACAAACTGCTCGATTCACATTTTGCTCTGCAGAAAGCTGAGCCTCCGGCTCATTCAGCAGGCACGCTAATACATCTGTGAATCAATTACAAAGCACAAACAGTTCTACTACATGGTAAATATTTGCTCACACTATCAGTACTCAGAATTCATTGAGCTTTTTGTTTACGGCACTCAGGGAAACACAAGGAAGGCTCCAGGACATTACTCTTTACTATTAATCAATAGGAGCCCTGTTTCCTAAAACATAAACAAGTGACAAAATGAAAACCCAGATGACGACAAGAGCTACGTCTCCTCCCCACCACCGCTCCCAGTGACAGTCTCCCACCTCGTACAACAGGAGGTTCCCTAACCAAAGCCTGTCCAAGCTTTGGGAATGTTTTTCCTCCTCTTTACAGCCTGTTCCAGCACTGGGCTGGCTCTGAACACTGTTCCAGCCCTCCTCCCTCCTGCCACCTTCACCGACACGCTGCAGAAGAACGAGTGGCAACAGGCACAAATTGCAACAAGGGAAATTCTATTTAGGTACAAAGAACAAGTTTGTCACGGTGACAGCAGCTGAGCATTGGAAGAGGTCGCCCCAAGAAAAAGGATTGCCCATTCTTGGAAGAATTTCAAACTGCACAGGCCAGGCCTGCGTGCAGCCCAGCCTACCCTTCAAGCTCAAGAGAAGGTCAGACCAGATGACATCCAGAGGTCGCTCCCAATTTCACTCTTTATTTTGTTTTATTTTGTGTCTCCTGCGAGGCCTCAGACTGCTGCAGCAGCTGTCAGCCACCCAAGATGACTTCCCTCCGGCCAGAATTCGGAGTTGGAAGCAGAGCCCAAGGCAGCGGCCAGCCAAGCGCTGGCTGCCCTAACAGCAGTTGCTAAGTAGCACGGCTTCCAAAACTTCTGCAAAAGGATCGGCCACAGGTTCCCAAATCAAAGAAAATAAAGCTCGCTTAAGAAAGATGCTGGGAATCTCTCAAACACACAAGCTGCCAAATAAGTAGGCTTAATTTCTTCCTGTCAGAGGGATGAGAAGCCTCTCCATGTTATTGCTGTCTGGCTCTCCTCCTCAGCTGTGGCCCTCAGGCACACACAAAGATGGCATCTGAGCGTGGTGGAGAGGAGGAAATCTACTGCCCACACGCAGGATGAACGGCTCTGGGCCCGATTTCAGTGGGAGGCCGGCTGACAGCTTTCACACAGGAGATTCCTATGCCTCTGGGAGAAGTATGGTTGCTAAGCTTTGAAACAGTAACACGTGACTGAGCATGAAAAAATGATTGGGGAAAACAAACAAACATAAAGATACAAGCAAAACAGAGCAGCAATGAGATGAATGACATTGCCACGCATGGCCCAGGATTCCCCAAACAGTAGGGATAGGCAACAAACATCATTTCAAATAACGAAACTTTAAGGTAGTTTTTTTCTGAGGACTTTTACAGATTTTGTCTCGTGGAAACAGAGCTGCCAGAGCCATGTCAGAGCTGACATGCACACAGCATTCATGCAAAGAAAACTATAACTAAGGCTAACTACATAGTGATAAAACCTCACAGCAACCAAAGCCATGCTGAACAGATTGACCAACAGTACTTATTACACAGTTCTCCTCGCCATCCAAGAGTTTTTTTATTAAGGTAAAAACTAAGGGACCTACACTAATGCGAAAGTATCAGTTAAAGAGAGCTGAGATTGGGGGAGAAGAGGACAGTGCCACAAACAACCAACACTGCCCTCTGCAGCAAACCTCTCCTCTCCAAACAGGGACCAAGCACGAGCCTCAGGACAGGGCCTGCTGGGAAACATGCCTCCAAATGAAAGAACTTTCCCACAGCCCTTAGGTACCAAGTACCAAGAACATGCGGCTGTCAGCATTATTTAACGGTCACAGTACAGAAGGTATCAGAATCCCGCTCCTTAAGTTCTCACACACTTTTAAATCCATTTTTGAAACAATGAAAAAACAGACTTTCTAGAATCACCCCTCCTGAAAGCACACGGCATGCTTCAGGGTTCTTTTTAATTACAAAGTTGTAAGGTAAGTACTCCTTTCAACAAGCCTTCTACTGCTGTGTTGGTCCTTCTTGCTGGCTGGCAGTACAGCCGAAGGACTTGGTGTTTCTGCTTTTATTTTGAAAGGAATATAAAGCTGGCACTATATCGCATCCCTAAGATGTTAATTATCAAATTTCTGCAAGACAGAAGCTGTTCACTAGTACGTGTTGAGAATCAACATCCGAGTCAACACTGGGGAGGTGTGTTAAGTTTCATTTATTATCTGCTTGAAGACAGCACTCTGAACAGGGCTGTTTGTACGCAGATTTGTAAGCAGGGACTGGAAGCCAGTTTTCTTCTAGGTCTCTTGCACAGTAAGGCTGAATGGACACAGCCCTCCCAGAGCCCACTTGTTTTGACTTTGTGAGCCAAGACAACGAGCACTGGCAATGCAGCAGAGCATTTATCTTATTAGACACAACAAGCAGAAGGCTATCCTGCTATTTATCCTTCTGCTCAAGGATTAGCAGAGCATCTATAGAGCTAAGACATTTTCAGACACTGATGGTGATTACAAAGAAAGCAAGAAAATCCCAGTGACCAACAGCTGAAACACATTAACAGATAACAGCTCTTTTAGGCTCAGTTTGGATCCCGGGTTGCTCAGCAGTAGCAGAAAGGCTGTTTCTCTCCCTCCAGGGGAACAGCGAGTCCATCCCAAGTTACTGGAAGAACTGCCCAGAAACACAGGGTGCAAATGACAAAGATGCTGTTTCAGCAGACTTTATTTACAGTTTTTCTTCTGTTAAACAGAGTCAATTCATAAAATATATTTTTTTTCAACACGTATATTCTGGCATATATTTCAATGTGTTTATTTTTGGATGCATTCAAGTATATTTTATATTGGGACACTTTACAAAAAAAAACAACCAACTTTCTGTGGCTATATGTCAACGTGGAGGCAGAGCTCTCTCAACTTCTGTTTACCCTCCCACTTTTTCCACAGTGTCACTCCTAATTTGTCATTTTCAGGTTTCAACCTGCACCGGGTATTTTCTAATCTAAACGCACACCTCAAAATCACAGCCGGGAAAGCTAGGCTTTAAAGGCCCTCATCGTGCAACCGTGTTTAAACCTCCCCTGGTCTAATAGCTGCCTTCTTTTCTGGCTCCACACACAGCTCTCGCTGTTTGTTAGCGCTGGCGTGGGAGAGGAGCTGAGCAGCAGCTCTGCCTCGCACCCCGCCTCAGCTGAGCCTGGAGATGACCCGTCACAGACAGAGCCACCCGTCTGTCAGCAGAGGGAACCACCCCGCGCCAAACAGCTGGTTTTTGCTGGGGGATGAGGCAGCGAGCCCCGCTGCACAAGCTTTTCATGTGGTTTGCCAGATGGACCAGCCCATGCGAAGGGCAGAGATCGGGAGCTGCTTTTAACAGGGCAATGGTTCAAGAAACGGTGCTGCCTGCCCACAGCTAAGTGAATTAACATCTAGGAGAGACTGATACCACAATCACTGCTGAAGTGGCAGAATTAATACTTTTAGTACAGGCAAATTCAGGCATATTCCTGTTGCTTTGAGTCCCAGAAAAACAAAGAAATCAGTACCGGTTCTGTCAGCATGTGACTAAAAAGCAGCGCAGAATACTCTAGGTCAAAATGAAGTGATCTGTGGAATAGTCCAAGACATTTAAATGCATGCAGCGAGGATCCTGAAGCAACAATGGGTGCTGAACAGCACAGTGGAGAACACCTCTTAGGCCAAAGGCAGGTCTCTGCTTCCCAAACCACTGGGGAAGTCACTGCCTTTCCTTCCCATCCCCACCAGAGCACTGTCTGCACACTTGGCTGAACAGCCTTTTGCCTCAGAAAAAGCTGTCAGTTACAAGTAGAAAACATTAAATGCAGCTTCTTCCATCTGCCAAAGCCTTGAGCAGGGAATCTTTACCTATCCGAAAGAGGGGAACACTTCACAGCACCTGAGTGCCTCTGCAGCTCTTCTCCCTAATCCAGGGAGAAAAGTGTGCCAAGCTGGATGCTGGGCAAGCCTTTTCCTAACAGCAGCACCCTTTCTCCGCGAGCCTCAAATATCTTTCCCCCTCAGAATCGCCCAGCTTTGGAGGGGAGCTGGAAGGAGACTTGCACATCCGACGCGTTTACGCTCTCTTTATTCAAGAGCATCCTCAGGGCTCCACGTCGGACTTTTCCCTTCCAAGTTCGGTCCCACCGAGCAACCCGCTGAGGGCACAGCCTCACAAATCAGCCACCCGGCGGGTTTTACACCCAGCGGCTGCCTCCCCGCGGCCCAAAGCCGGAGAGAGGAGAGCCAACCGCGGCTTTACCCCCGGGCGGCGCTCACCACGCACGGCGCGCTCGGGCCCTGCCCCACACACGGGAACTCCCCCGGGGGCGTGCGATCTCCTCCGCCGCCCCCGGGCCCTCTCAGCCCCGGGGCAGCCCGGCGGCGCCCTCCCGCCCCCCTCCGGAGGCCGCCGGCTCCCGTTGCGTAACGGCCGGCAGGGGCCGGGACACCGGGGCGCTGCCACGTATCGCCCCGCTCCCCTCCTCCCTCCCCGAGCCCGCGGCAGGCGGCGGGGCCTCACCTGAGGGCGCGGCCGGGCGCTGAGGGGCGGGCAGGGGCCGCGCGAGCGCTGCCAACGGCTGCCAACGGTCGCTAACGGCCGCTCGCCGCCGCCCGCCCCTTTTATAGGCGCGCGGGCCCCGCCCCCCCGCCTCGCGCCCGGCCCCGCCCCGCCCCGCGCTACGTGAGCTCGGTCACAGCGCCGCCCGCCGCACTGCGCAGGCGCCGTGGCGCTGGGCGGGAGCTGCCTGAGGGGGGCCTCGAGCCCCTGAGGGGGTGGGGTGCTGAGGCACCTGCCCAGTGTGAGGGGAGAGGGGCCGGGGGATGCTCCCTCAGGTGGCGCCTGAGGGGTCGCAGCCCCTGCGCCAGAGCAGTTAGAAAGCCAGTTGTGAGTGGAATAGCCGTCAGAAAATAAACCTTCCTTCCCTCTCATTCTGGTCACCTTCCAACAGCAATACAGCTCCTGTAACTAGCAGGAAAGGCGGCGATGCTGTACAAGCCTCGAGCTGAGGCGGCCGGTTGAAGCCCTGTTATCCAAAGAGGCCGTAATAGCTAGGCAGAGATTTAACTGCAGCTTCTGGAGATGTGGCAAAACCTCACACGCTGTAGAGGCGTTCAGCTTCCTCCTAGCGAGACTGACCGCTCTTCCCTTCATCTTTTGCGCCACTCAGATGCATTTAAAAAGGCAGACTGGAGGAATCCAACAGCCACAAGTTTATTAGCTCATTTAGTAGCAGGCTTGCTTATATTTGTCAGCATGTGGCCAAAAGCTGCCTCCCCTGCTGCAAGTGTAAGCCTAACAGCATGCTGCTTCCCCTTCTGAGCAATCTTGCAGAAGCACTCTGCAGGTCTTACGCTGAAGGGTAGTAAAATAAAGATCCTTCTAGAACAAGAACGAGGCAGAAGAGACCCCCTAAGAGCACAACTGCTCTGACTCACAGCAAAGCATTATTTAGCCCCTCATGCCTAGAGTGCTGGCAGCCTCCAAACACTTGTAACTGGGATTTTCTCAGCCTGATGTGGTCCAACTATTTATAAACCCTCAGCAGAGTTCTCTACACAGCGTTCCTCCTCTCGAGCTAGAGCTGTTTGCACCCACACCATCCTTCACCTAGCAGTTGTGCCCCTCCAGCCAGGGCATGGAAAAACATCTCCATTTATTCCCTGAGAACTTGGCTCCACTGTCTTAGATTTGATCAACCAGGTTCCTGCATAGAAAGAGACAGCAACAGTAAACATCTATCCCTTATGCAAGCTGCAGCACCAGAGCCTACCTAGCTTCTCACTGCAGCAGCATGCCACATCTTTGTTCTCACTTGTCCTCTCTGAATCTTTTCCAGCTCTTCAGAAATCTCGTGACACCAGGCTGTGACCTGCATGCAGTGTTTAAGACACAGGGGAGTCATTTTTATATCACACTGAGTTAAAGCACAGTACTGCTTCGCTTTTCCAAGTGCACTGACAACTGAAGTTTATCCTCTGGAAAGAGAGGGAGCTTCATCTACTTTCCAGCACGTTCATCAGTGTCAAAAACCAAAGATTATACTTTTAACAAAATCAAGTTACTAACCACAGACTTTATATCATCAGCTGCGCAATGCAAAAAGAAAATACAATTTTATTTTTTGGCCAGGGTTGGAGGACCTTCCCTAACCAACAGGGAGGAAGACAAAGATGCAAGTGATCCCAAAAAGCTGAACTGAGCAAATCCTTCTAAATGGTTACTCAGATATTAATGTGTCCTCTACACCTGTAGAGTGTTAGGAGCACAGGCTGCCACCAGCTGTATGAAATTAAACAATTTCTCTCTTCTTAGCTCCCCATCCTGAGTATCAGAAGCTGCAGGAGTCCCTTATATACATGATATAGGCTACAAGGCTTATTTTAGAGCAAAGCTAGTTTTGGTTAGTCTGCATCTAAAATTTAATGATAGAGGGAAAGACTACTCATTAACTTTCTCTTTAAAGAAGTGGTTTGTCTTTCCTTGGCCTCTTGCTAAAAAAGAAGTATTTTTTACCAAGAGGTTTCTTGTGGCTTGACCATAAGTTTTCAATGTGAGCTTACCAGTTTTAGGTACTTAAAGCAATTAACAGTTGTTGTGCAAGAGTCAGCTGGTAGCAATTCTGATGCTTGTTTCTGCTTATTGAGGGCAGCTGGAGAGACACAAAACAGAACAGCAAGAAAAAAAGCAAGATTGCTAGTGTAGCTGTTATTAGGTTAGAATTACATTTTCCAGCCACTTCTTTGGCTTGAAAATCTTTTACCAACTGTTAATGCCAATACAAGTATATTATAAACCCAGATTAAAAAAAAAAAAGGCTCTTGGCAATACCAGAGCAAAGATTTGCCTGTTTTGTAACCTCCTCTATGTAACAAGTATCTGTTCCTACTGCTTGTGGCCTCCTTGCCTGCTCCGTTTCTTTGCTCTTCTTGCATCAGGCGAGTCTCAGGGATTCACTTCCTCTGGTGGCCTGCCAAAGCTCAAATTAGTAAACTACAGGAAGCTGTCGGAGATGCATTTGTATGGCCAGGCCTCCACTTCACTCACAGGATTGTTTCTAGCATGGAGCCTAATGTCTGCAGGGGACAGATACAACACAGACAGTTTATAGCTGTAATCTACACAGCTTGGAGCCCTGCTCAGAAACACCTGCAAAGAAACTCAGTGCTAAAGTGACAACTGATATTTGTGCTCCGTAATTAAATACTTATAAGTAGATGAGAAAGCTTCTGTTGATCTTGAAGTTGTCTGCCCTACTTACATGCTTCAGAAATATTTAATTTGGCATTGCAGCATCACAAGCAGGTGTATGGACCCTTAGAAGAGTTCCCAGGAATCTCTCAGACCGCATGGCTTCCCACCACTCACGTCAGTCACAGAACTGACTAATCCCATTTTCTCTGCATGTCCTGGCACGGCACAGAGGCCAGGTATACGTGATTGGGCTAATCCTTGATTTCTGTCAGCTGCACGTGGCAATGGAAGGCTACAGCACTGCAGTACCTTTGGGGGAGTCTTTACACTGCAACATCGTGCTCTGGCCTTTCGCCCTTCCTGCGGATAGAGGTGCACTTCCAAGTGACCTGTTGAGAGGCTGTCCCAAGATTTGAGGTCCAAAGTACCGCCTCCAGCTGCTGCCCTCTAAAACCAGCACTTTTTGCAACCTTTCTGCAGGCAATTAGGGTCAACAGATCTGTTTAACAGCAGGGTGGATGCTTCCCTTAGAGATTATACTTCAGTCCTTTATCTTATTAAGGGAAGATGCGTTTTGTCCATTAATCCAATTAGCCTAGTGGATTAATAAGATTGGGCTTGCTCTGTTTCAGGAAGCATATAAATAGCAGTCAAGCATAATTAAACCTAAACTTGTAAGTGATGCCGGTAACAAGAATGGTATTTCCCTGCATACTCCATTCATTATTTTTACAAGCTCTGCTCTCAAATTACATGGCCTGAGCCCTCAATTAAAATGTCTCAATTCCTGACCAAAAAGCAAAAGGCTGTGCTGAAAACATTTATGGGTTTATAAAATTCTCTTTGTGCTAAATATGGGCACAGGTAGGCTCCAACCCAGAATAACGTTTTCAGCGTTCGAGAGAAATCTTGTTTGTTCAGTTCTAAAGGCATGAAAAATACTTGTCATTATTCTGACATCTCTTGGCAGAGTGCACTTTCCAATCAATCCTATTCACTTGCAAATTCAGCTGCAGGTTTGGGTGCTTGAACGCTTCACAGCTCCATTATTTGGATGCGTGCAGCTCTTGGCATATTTTCCTGTTTGAGGACATATGGTCCTCAGCTTTATACAATGCTCTTATGATACAAAAAACAGAGAAGCTTGAGGGAAAAAAAAAAGGGGGGGGGGGGGAGGGAAGAGAAGAAGAAAAGAAACTAACAGAAGCAAAAGGAACAAACTCCCGTGCCCTGTAAGAACAGCTCAAATTACTGCAGTAGCACTGTTCTCGTAATAACTTCTGTGTGGCAAAATGCAGCACGTGGGTCTCTGACAGAATGAAGCAGCTGTGAAAAGCAGAGTTTACTCTCAGTCTCACTACCTCTGGGAGCTGATCAGAGTCAGGAGCAGGCACCCGCCAGCCGTCTAGCTGTGCCAAGGGTTTCTGAGCAGCCCGTGCAGAACTACATTTCCCAGAGCTCCCCCGGCGGGAAGAGCAGCTCAGTAAGACAGCTGCTGCTCTGTTTGCTGCAGGAGCAGTGCTTCAAACTGAGGTCAGCAGGGGACTTTCGGAGTGGTTTCCTGCTGCTGGAGGTAGCACAGCTTCTGCACAAAGCACAGTAAGTCATAAAAACGCTTGGGAAGCGACAGACCTAGGTGCACCTCCTGTACAAGAAGGCTGTACAAGATAGATGAGATTTACAGGCACAACAGGGAAGTTTGGGCAGGCCTCCTCAGATCAAGTTTTTACCATCTGAGTTTTCAGTGATCCTTACCCAAATCTGTCAGTGTGCGTCTGAGAGAGGAAGGGTTTAAAGCTGTGCGTGCGCTGCATTTCACCCTTCCAGGTGCAAGCTTTTCCTCATGCCCATTCCAGAGCAAAGTACGGAGCTGTTTGTAAACTCCCCCTCCACACAACACGGGCTGCCTGTAGCGCTGGAGGCTTCCACAAACGAGGCTCTGCGAGACGCGGGGGTGGAGAAATCAGGGACACGTAATCGCCCCGCCACAAAGCAGCTTCAGGCACGGTCTCTACCCGGGGCGGCGTGCCAAGCTCCCTGGCCTGTCCCTCCAGGGACCTCCTGGTGGGGAGCACACCAGTGGGAGAGAGGCACTGGGGGCAGAGATGGCAAAAGCCACGAGGGAACTTGACATCACCTCCCCTTACTGACAGGAGCCTCTGCTCGAGCAGGCCTGGGAGCCAGCACTGACCTTACTGCGGGGAAGGACTCGCAGGCTCTTCCTTGGCTTGGCTTATGTGTCTCAGTCAGTGAAACGAAGCAAACGTAACTTCCTCCTCCTTCGAGGGCCTCGGGACCTGTGGTTGGAAAGTGAAATATCCAAAGCAATTGTTAAGGATGGTGAATCACGGTTCATTTTTATTTCAGATGAGTGCTAGAGATGGTGGCATTTCTGGCTGTTTTCTGACATCCCGACGTTGAGTTCAAACTGCAGTCTGTGACTGCCTGAGCTGAAAATGTGGTAGGATCCTTTGGCACAGAAAGCATTGACAGTTGGAGATGATCCAATTCAGCTGCGACTGCTGTCTCTCGTCTAGCTCCAGGAATTCTTTTCCGCAGCTGATATTTTGTCTTTCATTCTCTTCTGGCATTGCTGCCTTTCCCACAGCCCTACTGTGTGCTGCAATAGGATGTTCCATTGGATCGAGGCCATTACAACTGCGTAGGAAACAAACAAGAGAGCAGCTACTTTTGCTGCTCTTTATCCCATCGGTACAGGAGTTGAGGACAGGAATACTTAACCTCATCTTACAGCACTCTAAGACCTTCTGTGTTCACTCACAGATGGCAACAAACTGAGGTATCTTGGAATTGTCTTTAAAAGTGCTGGAACTAGGTTTGATTTGTGACTAGAGACTAAGACCAAAGTGATCATTTTAAAAAGCATTTCAGAAAGCAAATGCTAGCGTTCTGCAGACACTGTAAGCGAGAGATTTCTGGTAGCATTGGGTTGTTGTGGCTTTTAAACCAAACGCAACTTTGGAGGGCCACTGTTTCTATTCTGCGCTTCTCTTTTTAGGCAGAGACAGCTACCTGTGGGCGTTGGTCATGGCTGCAATTTATCAAGCAGTGCACAGAAGAGCTTCCTCTCTCTTCTGCAGGTTTCATTCTACCTATGTTAAAAAAATGAGGTAAGTTCTCACCTGCATCTTGTTTACACTGAGAAGACCAGCATTTGGCACTCCTGCCCACTGTCACAAGCAGCCCTACCTAAATCTAACCTAGGGGTTTATCTCCTAACAGTTCAATGACTGCCTATGCTTGCTGTCCTAGCTAGGAGGAAATGCAGTATTGTTTGCCAGGTGGCACCTTTGCTGGAAGGTGCAGGCCACCAAGGTGTAGATCCAGCTGCCAAACACCCTAGAAGCTTGCAGAAGACAAAATCCATACTGTCTGCTCTTCCTCAAGTAAATGTGTCCAAATAAGTGCAACACAGGTAATCCCAGCATGATCTTAAATTTATCTTCCCCATTCTTTTCTTACTGCAGATACTTAAATGAGCTAAAGGAAGATGATGACTTTTGTAGACAAGCCCAGACCTCAGGAACTTTCTACCTCTTTCACAACCTCTCACCCTTCCTGCAGAAGGTTGGGAAGAAATATTTGCTACCACAGCTCAGTGCAGCAGGTAAGCAGGAGTCCAGAAAGAGATGTCTCCTGGATCACGCAGCTCAAACGATACAGGCTCATGTGCAATAAGCAATACCTGACATGGGGTTGAAAATCTATCAAGATGTGCATGGAATATCCCGTTATATGCAGCATGCTATTTGTTAACAACTAACGGGTATTTAGAGTTAAAACCTTACGACGTGGATGTGAGCTCATGCTCTTCACGTACATACAGTATCAATACATGCGTGATCTGGTTTGAGATTATCCACTTTAAATATTTGGGACCATAACTTCTGAAGAAAAAGAGCTGAGCAGAAAACAAGCAGCAAGGTTTTACCAGCAAAGCAGTTTTGAGAGAAAGGTATCAGCTGCTGTAGGAGAGAAACAGAATGGAAAGCTGTTCCCCAAGCGTTAAAACATTTGCATCCTTAATTTAATATGGTCAGAAGATACGACAGCTAAGGAGAAAGCCAGGCTTCGAGTCTCCTTTGGAGCGGAACAATTTGTCTGGCACCTCTCTCACATGAGAGATGCAGAAAGAGCGTCATGTTTGCACAAATTCTCTTCCCTTACAGCTTTTTCTTCCCCTTTCTCTTGCTGTTTAGAGATGAAAAGGATCCTGGAGAAAATGAAAGAGACTGAACAGTGGATAGAGAAGTCAGTGCTGATCGGCTGTTCAGATGAGCACGTGCCACACTTTGCCCTGGATTTAGGTTGGGATGACTCCTCTTCCACCTGCGTTGGCATCGCATTTGATGCACTGAGATGAAAGTGATGCCGAGGCAGCATCCTTTTTCCACACTAGGTCAATATTTACTGCTCAAGAGAACTCAGTTGAGTCTCTGTAGGAGCTGCTGTGAGCACGGTGGTTGAGAGCCACAAAGCTGCCCTGCTGTCCCCGCGTGGGCGTTAGTAAAGGTGGGCTGTTTGCAGGTCACTTAACATTTGGGCATGTGTTACCACCGAGGTGATGTCACTTCCATGGGAACTTCCAGAAATTGTACACCGGAACAATGAAGGGCGTAAAATTGGGATAAGAACTGCAGTTTATGAGATCAGAGATTTGTCGTTGTTTTTTAAGCAGGAGCCTTGGAAAAATCAGTCATTGAGTCTGAACTTCAGGGATCGTTCACTGACTTACGAAAGGCTCTCTTTGTAGTGGATGTGAAGGATTCTCCTTTGCTGGCCTCGGTACAGTACAGAAATACTATTATTATTTTAACCTTTAAGAAGTGATTTCTAACATTTCCTTGTCTCCCATGTTGCTCCATGATTCAATACGTATTGTGGAGGTACCTGCTGTGTGTTTTCAGTAGGCACTAAAAATTGGGACAGCAAATTTGGGAGAACTGCTGTAAAAGTAAGCTGCAATGGGAAGAGACACAGACGTTTAAAAACGACTTCAGAAATTAGCCACTTAGCATCAACGTGCTGTATGCCCAGCATGAAATGTACTGATCTCAGCAGCAGCAGGCACAGCAATCCCACTTCGTACCCAGTTTTTCTGTATTCTTCTTGGCAAACCGAATTCCAAGAACAGCCTCAGAGGTCTTCTCTCAGAGCTGCTCTTTTAAAACTGCTCACTTACAAGCTGTGAGTTCCTATCCAGATGCCCTATGTTTGGAAGCCCTAAGAAAAGATCTGTGTGTGAAACTCAACTGCTCCCATTACATCCCAATAAGGAACAACTCTTCCCCCACCTTCCCTTGACCTGCTGAAATTTGGATGCTAAAGCAATAAACATGAAACACCGATTCCAAAACCTGCCATTTTTCAAAGCAGTGCCCACGTTTCGTTCACCTTTTGTAGACTTCCAGACATACTCAGAATTTATCCATGGAACAGCATGATGGGGAAAAGACAAAGTCACTCAGGAAGAGTGCTCCAGGTGTAAATTTGTATTTCTCTTGGTGTTCACAGGCCCAGGCCCTTCTCCGGTGGCACGAGTCCCACCAGTACTGTAGCAAAACTGGGCAGCCCACTCAGAAAAACCTAGCTGGCAGCAAGCGAGTCTGCCATGCCAGTGGAATAACTTACTATCCACAGGTAAGCACCTGAGCAGTTGTACGGAGAGGAATCTGTACAAGGCAGCAGGGTTTCTTTCCATGTAGTTGGACGCTCATGGAGCTAGGAAAAGGAACCAGTGGCACTTACTTGTTTGGTCTGAACTTCTTCCTCTGCATTTTGATGTGTTTTCTAGATGTCTCCAGTGGTTATCACCCTGGTGTCTGATGGCAGCCGGTGCCTCCTTACACGACAGTCCTCGTTCCCTCAGGGGATGTACACTGCCCTGTCAGGCTTCTGTGACCTGGGTAAGGCGGGCTCTCATCTGCTGTGGGGGGCAGAACCATGGGACATCAACCGAAGGCCTGAAGGGCATAGAGGTGATACCAGGGGGAAGAAATATTTAATCAGAGTTCAAAATAGCTGTATACATCTGAAGAGAACAGGAGAATTATGGGCATACATGTATATCAGTTGCTGTAGCCCATGATCGTGTATTCAGGTAACAGACTCCCCAGGTTAGAGCCCCAGGTACTTCTTAGCCCATTTTGTGTCTCTGGCTCAGAAAAGAAACTCAGACCTCTTAAAAGGGAAAATAGCTTAAAAAGGGAAAGGATGAAGAGGGGCAGCAATGTTCTGTCCACCAGCTGCATACAGACAGAACCAAAAGCATGTCTGATGCCTCTGGTTAAGGGAGGCAAGCATGGGTGATTTAATCGAGCATCTTGATGGCAGGTGTTGCCAGGTCAGCACAGTCAGAGCTCCTGCTCAAACAGCCAGGGCTGGAACACCTGAGAAATGAGCCTACTTCCATTTTCTTGTCACGGTTTGCTGCCCTGAGGCCAGGCTGTCCTCACCTACCTGTGGTTGCTTCCAGGTGAAAGTGTGGAGGAGGCACTGCGGCGAGAGGTGGCCGAAGAGGTGGGCCTGGAGGTGGAGTCCTTCCAGTACTCAGCCTCCCAGCACTGGCCCTTTCCCAGCAGCTGCTTAATGATCGCCTGTCACGCGTTGGTGGGGGGACAGCAGACTGAGGTGAGCAGGCTTCCCCTGAAGCATTTCACTACCCACCTTACATAGCAAAAGCTAGTCTGGTGCACAGGCTTGAGTTTGAAGAGCATCAGAGCCTCTCTAAGTGCTGTTTTCAGTTAGCTTTCTACAAGTGAATATGAGACTTGAAAATCATCATGTCTTGTGTTGCAACACGCAAGGTTTGGCACAGGTCACTGTATGTACAAGCACAGAGCACAGCGTCCCAATGGTTTTTTCCTCTGAACTTTGCAGAGGAGGCACACTCTAGTATTAATAATGCATTTGCTATAAAAAAGCAGTTTCTGCTACGTTAATTACTGTGCTCGTTGGTCCTTTGCAGGCCAGTGCCACAATGGAATAGGGCTAACTGATTTGTGGCTTCCCTAAGGAAACCAATAGGCACGTCCTCCCCTGGGTTGGCATCAACACTTAATTCAGGCGTGGATTAAGCACTCCAGGCACTCTAGCATGGGATCTTTGTGGGTGCAAGAACAAGGCACTGCTGCCCATATTTAGAGCTGATTTAAGGAACTGGCACTCTCCTAATTCTTTCCAGATAAGTATGAACAGCCTGGAACTGGAAGAAGCCCGCTGGTTTGGCCTGGAGGAAGTCTTGGAGGGGCTCAAGAGAGATCACACTTCTTCAAAGCAAGATGATGGTAGTTTTTTACCCTGGTTTCCTCCCAGGCAGGCCATTGCTCACAAGCTGATCAACGAGTGGGTTAAACAGCAGACTTCCCGGCCGACCTAGGTATAAAGACTTCATCAAGTCTGCGACTCTGCCAGAATTACAAAAGCTTTATGTAAAAGCTTCCAAAGCTACTGAAGACAACGTGTCTTACGGTGGGGGTAGCACCAGACTGATGGCAGTCTTACACTTGGATACACAGACGTACAAAGCCATTTCTAAACTGGTTGTCTCTGGGCAACTCCTCATACACTGGACCTTGGAGATCCCACAACTTGCAGTAAATATGCAATAAAATTCTCAGTCCCAAAGTCCAAAACTTAAGTGTCATCTGCTGCAGGTGTTGCCCAGCAATCAGGAGAACAGTAAGCTCCTAGCAGTTACGTCCCCTTTTCCTCCAGTTTATCCATCTGGAACTCCTGGGTGGGTGGTTGAACCCATTTTTTTTTATGTTAAGGGAAAGTAGCCTTTCAGTGTTCACACACAGATGGAATGACAATCAAAAAAAAAAAAAAAAAAGAAAAGCCACTGCCTCAATGCTCTCCCTTTCTTCTGTTCCCCTTTCCATCAATTCTTCCAGTTTTGTATAAAACATGTTAATTTTTTGCAAATGTTAAGCAGACTTCTACTTTGATGGTTTGTCTGAGCAACTAAAAATACTTGTGGAGACACCATTTTCCCTACCAGTGAGGCACAGCGTGAGACTTCCATCCTGAGGAAGAGAGAACAGAGCTACCTGGTGGTAGAGAGTGGAAGAGCAAATCAACCTATAAGCACGTTAGAAGAACCCAAGTAATGCTGAGAGGAACTGCTGCAAGGAAGACTGCACTTCCAACAGAAAAAAAAATCCCAAAAGGCCAAGTGCCTCTCATCCTGTGCCAAAAATCTGGGGCTTGCCTGGAGAACTGCTCTTGTTTTACTGATAAAGAAGTATCACTTCTCTGAAGGGAGAGAGTGACAAAGAGAGCCTGGGAAAGGAAAGCCTAGTAAAAGAGGCAGACGGAGGGATCTGCTGCTGTTTCAGGCTGACAGTCCTTCCTGCTCACTTGGCCACTACTCAAATGCCAAGACTGCAAAGCCAGCAGTACAAATACTTGAAGGGGAAGCAGGGCTGTATCGCTGTCTGCCGGCTCTAGGATTTATTGCAGGTGAAGGACTTTTTTAAGCATTGTAAAAATTGTAAAGTTGTAAAAGTCCTGACATCTGAACAGTAAGTAAAAAGATTGTCTCACACAGTTCAAACACGTTTCGTTTCCTTGGGTTAATTTTACTTCAGGAGGCTGGGGAGGGGCTTCTCTCAGGCCATGGTGGCATGTGCAAACAGCTTTTCCACCCCTACTAACTCTCAGCAATAGAGGACCCGTGTCAGAGCATGTTTTTCACGTTTGGCAGATTTGGCAGCCATCCCAGTGGGAATGCAGTCTGGTACACAAGGGCACTGCTTATGCCTCCCCTCCAACCCAACCAGACACTCCACACAAACCCCCACACCTCTAAACATAACCGTGCCTCTCCTGCATCCAGTTTCCTTTGAAATTGTCTCGCCTCCTCTCTGTGGTAGTTCCTCCTGCTCTCTCTTCCATCTCACCATTTTAACCCCCCATCATTTATCTCCTCCTCTCTCATCTCTGGAATGTGCCGTTTTCGTTTTCAGCCTCGCTCCTTTCTTCCCCTTGTCTGCAGGGAAAATATTGAAGAGTTAGATACAAGCCAGCAGGATATTCCAGCTTCTCATGCCCCTTCCTAGTTCTTCTTACTGGCCTCCCAACCCCCCCCATGCATTCAGTAATGTGGCCCAGGCTTGCTCCAGCTTACAACACGCACCTTGCTGGTGTGCTCAGTACTTTTTGAATATCCTGTGATCTGCTCTCTGTGGCAGAAAGAGGATTAAAAAGTAAAAGTGTCCAAAAGTAGTACACGTGAGAGAGGGGAGGAATGCCTGTATGAATTCTGCAGCAATCTGAACTTTGTGAGTATGCGGCTGTTTTTCTAATTTGCAGTATGCATTTGGAGATTTGAGGCTGCCAGATACCCACACGCTTGAGCAGAGCTCTGAGTTGCAGCTCTACTCATATTCTGACTATACCAGGCTTTTTCTAATTTCATCAACCTTTTGTTCCTGTTAGAGGAAAGGCAAAGTTAATTTCTCATTTACTTCTGACTCGCCTTTTAAAATTCAGCTGTAAATGTCTGTATGTTCCTTTAGATTTTCAATAAAGCACTTCAATCAATAAATCTTTTCAATCTACTTTTATACAGTTTTGTAGAGCAAGCGCAACTCCAAAGCAGTTCCTACCATACCATTTAAAGGGCCCTATGTTTTAATCTGCTTTTTAAAAAATCTTTAACCCATATCCTTAGGCATGAAACAATGGTGGCTTCTGTTCCTGATGTTAAGAAAGCAGGAGTGAGTTTAGGCAATATACAGCTAAGAACAGGACAGAAAAACAAGATGAGAGAGACATTGCTCTCACTTCAATTTGCCTCACAAACTAGCAATACTGCAGTCAAGACAGAACATGCACCCTAAGGGGAGGTGACCTGGAAAAAGGAAGAGGCGATTCCTGACAGATGCTTCTTCAAGAAAACACAGCAGGGATTTTCCCTGTAAAAGATGTCAAGCAGGCAAAAGGGATGTAGCAACATAACTGTCTCAAAAACACATCTGTTAAATTAATTCTCATTGGGGACAATTAACTTACATCAATCACAGAAACACCGTGGCTTTCAGAGACTGCAGGGGCTTGAACTTAGAGCAAGAGCTAGCATTGTAAAGCAGTCACCCTGTGGCCCTTCACGTTGCTCCCCCGTTGTTTACATGGTGCTATTCCCAGTCAGCAGCATACATGGACAGACAGAAAATACCACTGATCTGATTCATTACAAGTTGTGTTTTTTTTGTTGTTTTTAGACAGTTTTTCAAAACCACAGGCAGGTTCAGAGCAGCATTCCTGCCTACTGACCTACAGCAGCAGGGCATCACCTTGGGTGCCTCGCTGCTGCACAGAAAGGTCACAGTTTCCTGCCAGGAGGGTTGCTCATCCACTGTGAAAGGCAGGCAGCACTAGAGGTCAGGGAGGAAGCTCTTGTATCAAGAAATGAGCTCACCTTCAAGCACGCTCTGAGACACGAGGGACATGTGCTGAATCCAGTGTTCAGCCTGAGAGGACAGCAGCCCTTAACAGAACACCCTGACAACAGGGCCATGTTGAAGTCATTTTTCATGTAACCATTTTTAAAGTTACCGTGAGCAGCCCACCTCTGGCAGCTGCAAGGCACAGGTTGTCAGAACAACTTGTAAATACACAAATGGCATTTCTGTGCTCCAGTTTGAAGCCCTGCTGAAGTGAATTCAGCCGCCCCAGCCTTCAGCTTCCATTTTAAACGTGTTCACTCTTCAGCTTAGGAACAGATGGCACACATCTGTGTAAGGGAAAAATGGTGCCAGCTGTCATTCATGCAACAATGCACACACCTGGGCACGACTGAACGCTGCCAAACCTACTTCTGTTAATCAGAGTCCAGGCTGCTCATCTAGAAACGGTGTCACTTGCACTTCCTTTAAGACCCATCAGTGGTGTTTTGTAGACAATCAGATGCATTCTCTCAGTGAGATCCAGAATCATCATCACATGGAGACATTGGAGGGGCCATCAGCTGTCTCAAATAAGAGAAAGGCCACAGGAACAGAAGCACAAAGCCTCTCCAGCTTCCCCACAGGGAGAGCAGTAGCAGCACGGGAATGGAGAATGCAGATGGAGCATCCTTTGACAATTCGTGGTGTCTTTTACATAGCACTCCCTGCAAAATGTCACACTGGAACAAAACACAGCTACAGAGAAAAATACCAGAATGGGAGGTTGGGAAGCAATGCACGGAAGAGACTTTTCATTAAGTTTTAAAGTGAGTGGGAAAAAGAGTGATACACAGTAAGGTCTTCGTAATGGCAGGAACTACAAAAAGGGCCTACTCTGAGCACAAACACTGCAAGGGAACCCGGAAGACTTTCTAGGAGATTAGCAGCAGAAGAGACAAGGTTTGGGATAGAGACAGCAGCAATTTCATGCATAGTTTTCATGAATAAGTGTAAGAATCTCAACAAGATCATCTAAGGAGTGAGAAGCTGAATATTCATACGTAGCAGGGGATGCAGCGGTCTGGATGCTAAACGAGGATGTGTTGGACCAGGACGAGAGCAGTTAGGCAGCTTTATCTGTGAAACACTGTTGATTGATTTGTGTAACATGAACCCAGCAAAAGCATACAGAAACCACACAAAATTAAGCAACTCTGCTATTAACAATGAGAACCTGGAGAATTTTTACTAGTGAAAGAAAATATCTACAGTCTTGATGAGTATGCAGCAATGACCTGAAGGAAACATGATCATTAAATATGGCTGTTGTCAGCACACAACCTGGAGAATGCCAAAGCTGGGTTATATTCCATTTCAAGACCAAACTGGAACTGCCAAAGGGATTGCTACTGCTGAAAAGTAAACTAGAAGAAAAAGATACAATAAAGATCTACAGAAAAGAGAAGGGATCAAACCGTGTATTTCTTAAATAAGTTCTCAGCCATTGGGCATCATCAGTCAATGGGATACAGTTTCACTTCACATTTAATCCTTCATAGGATTAATAACCCTCACCGAGTGACAAAGGAGCTAGGCTGAACTACGTTAGATTAACATCACTGCAGCCATTGGATTTCAGCGACTCCTTTTTCCCCACCGATATTATAACATCTCTACTGGAAATACCTCCTTTTCTGCCTCCTATCTGCAACAGTGTTCATCTCCTGCTTGTATTTTTTTATCCTGAACAAAGGCCTACCTTCCCTCTTCACTTCCCATCCTCATGTGCTTGCAAAGTCCTCCATCTGGGCAGACCAACCCACTTCACTACAGGCTCTATTTCAAACAACTGGCAATCCACACTCGACGCAGAGGTAACACACAGGATTTCTCCTACCTCCACAGATGACTCAGCTCCTTAGCTACAGTCTCACATCTGAAGAAGTCACAGCACTGCACTCCACAGGACGGTTTCCCTGTCTGGAAGCTCAGCCAGCACACGTTTGCATCTGCATGTTTCTGTCCTACTTCAAAGGGACACGTTGCCTGTGCGTTGCTGTAAGAGTTCATACACCAGACAAACTGAAACATGACTGCATCAACAATCTCAGTCATTTGCCCTAAAGGCACAGATTTTGCTGTTGAGTTCATTATCAGCACCTGGAATCTGTAAGAGGAAACCTTATCCATCCTCACAAGGTGGGAATCTTGCTGGTGGCTCAGGAACACGGTCATTGCACATCAGTTAAGGCTTCACACTCTGGACTCTTCTGAGCAGTTCAGGTTTTGTTTTGTTTCTAAAGTGGGTGTGTATTTAGTTGTTTATACCAAGAATCCCAACTGCCCTCCGCGGTATTATTTTCTTAGGGGAATAAAACAAAGTTGGAGGAAGACGTTAAGTTTCCATCTTGGACCTGCCAGCACAGATGTACTCGTGCTCCATTCCAAGACATAAAAGCTGAGGGGGGGGGGCGGGGGCAGTTGCTGCTGCAGCATCCCACGGGATGGCACAAAGGGCCTGCCCTGACTCCTGCTGCTATTAAAAGTAAAAATCAGTTTCTCAAAAAAAAAAAAAATTACGTCAGTAGCTGCAGCAGGAGCTGTGCAAGCATTCATAAAGATTGCTTTGCCCCCATCACAAAGAGTGTGTCCTGGTGCTAATTGCTATTCCTACGTTCCATTTGGAAGGGATGGAAAGGCAAGCAGGAGAAAAGCACCGTGCTGGGAGGAGATCCTTCATGGCACCAGGGGAGGCTGACAGTCCACTCACACAGCAAGGACTCTGCAAACAGTTCACTTGCAGGAAACCGACTGAAGCATCACGCTGCATCCGCACACAGCCAGCTGGAGTTAAACACAGTGACCCCTTCTCCCCAGCACCCACAAAGGAATTAGACTCATGCTGAAAGCACGGCGGGCCTGCGAGCTGCTGAGCTCCGAGCCGAACTGTACACCCTCTGCTCAAAGAAATGAGAGGCTCTTTCTTGGCTTCCCACCTCCCCCAGAAAGCTGAGCAGTGGGAACAGTGGCAACAGCCAAACAGCCCAGGTGTTCAGAAGAGTTTTCACAAGTTCAAGGTCTCTACCACCTCCTGGGATTCATTCTGATCTCCTCTCTACAAGATGAAAGAGGCGTTATTTGTTTCCTTGCTGGAAATGCACCAGTCAACAACTGCCCCATTCAGAATTAGGGCTCCAGAGAGCGAGCCATAAACAAGAAGAGTGCATTTCTGGGAAGGGTCAGGAGTTCTAGGATAAACAGGGCAGTACAAAAGCAGATACTCAAGTGAGCAAAGTGAATAAACTGTGCTGGAATGCAGTACTAGTTAAAACAAATTTAGAATATAATGGAAACTTTGATAGCAAGCCGCTGAAAGGGAACCATGCTGCACTTGTCTTCCATAATTAATTCCATCAGGCTTCCTCCACTGAAAATATTCTTTCAAAATTGAAAGCAGAAATGCCTCATACACTACTTCAAAGCAGTGGAAGTGCTTATTCTTAGATGGCAAATTCTACTGTGAGTAACTCCCGTCCTGAAGGTCTCCACTGTGAGACTGCTAAACAAATGTAACGAGCTGGGATAAGCACAGCCTCACAGAAATAACAGGCCAGCTGACGGCAAAGTAAGATTACCCAAGAAGCACGAGCAGCTAAGTGCCTCCAAAAGAGCTGCTTTGTTCTGAACATGAAAAGTTTTTTTTTTCCAGATAATACATTAGAAGTGTCTTTTGATCCATTTTTGACATTTCATACAGTACAGGCCAAGGAAAGTTCAAACTTCATCATGCTCTTCAAACTGAACCAGTTTTTGGCAGCACCTATTATTTTTGAAAATAGATTAAACTACACCATGGAGAAAGTTCTGTAGCTTCACCATTATGTTCCCTCTTAAAACCTAAATCCTTTTCAACATTCAGGTACACCCATTTTCTGCCACTACCTGCTGGTTATCTTTGCCTGCTTGATTCAAGAACTGTTACTTGGTTTCTGGTTTCCAGTGTGGAGTTCTCTAATCCCATCCTGTTTCATCTCACCACTCTGCAATCCGAACTCCTCTGGTTGTAGCAGCATCTTTATACCCCTGAGTTTTGCTTTCCATCTCTAATCCCTGCCCAGCTCACCAGTACTCTCCATAAGCTGCTGACAAAGTATCTCAC